CCCCAAAACCCCAAAACCCCAAAACCCCAAAACCCCAATAATCAATTACGAATGAAGAATATAATAAAATTGTTAATCTGAGATTACCAGAAAATGAAGTCTCACTTCGAAGCTTTAAGCAAGAATAAATCCAGACAAGAAGGTCTCAGAGGAGTATCTCTTGAAGAAACTCTTGATACCAAAATGATGGAGGAAAGTGTCATCACTTCCACAATCAGAGGAGACACTCTTAAATCAAGTCGTAAGAAGGGTGACGATCTGTAAGTTCCTAAATTGGAATAGAATTTATCCTCAAATTATTAAAAACGAGAATTTTTTATTTAAGTATCACTGGAAGTAGTTCTAAGCCTACATTCATCTTTTCAACTTGTTGTATTTGCCTTTCGAACTTTCTAACAGGCAAATAGCTTTAGGTTTGAAATCACTGATGAGAAATGCTTCTTTAAAAATTATCAGTGAAGGATCTTATCTCAAAACATTTATGAAAATTTCGAAACTCTCTAAAAATTCTTTGATATTAAGAAGGATTTGTTTATCAATCTAGCTATGAGCTTAGAGTATCGTACTGGCCGACTTTGTAAACGAGGGCAATTGTTCCTTCAGAAGTAGGCTCAATTCTGAAATTCTTTGCCAGATAGTAGTATTATTGAGTTATAATATCGATTTATTTCATAAAATATATCACAATTGGATGTAACTCTCTCTTTTCTTATGTCAAGGCATGATACTTTACTCTTATTGGCTGATCTCAGATGAAAATCTCTTCTAAAAAGCAAGCCGGGAAAATAGTTCTCACCGTATTTTTCAAAATTGCTCAAAAAAGCAATAAGGTTGAAATATCTTTTCATTTTTGCTCATAACTGAATTCTCAAGTTTTCATTCTGATGTCTGACTATGTTCTAGAAAATATCAGACAACGATCAGCAATGATTTTATGACTCATGGAGAATTTACCACAAATGCTCAAACTTTTGACACCATCTACAGCAAATCACCCACAAATTACGAGAAGATAAATGAAAAATGGTAAGTCTTTTACTTTTTCCTCCTTTCTGACACAATTCTACAGGAGAAAAGAGCATAATGATCCTCTTGATTATCCTCTGAGGAAGAGAGATAGTTCAAAGAAGGATAAACAAGCAGGTCGTCCGAGAGTGAAATCATCAGCAGCTGAAACCATTCCTTTTGTTGAAGCTACTGAATGTAACCCAGTCAGAAAGTCGATTATCAAGAAAAGGAATCTCATATTTAACAGACAGGAAAAGTTTAACACAAGTTATAAGTAAGTTACTCTTGAAATAATCTGACCTCTTCTAGACCTAAGCTGGCTAAGAGTGATAAGAAGAAGACCTATCTTTCTAGCTGAACTATAGATCTTTCTTCTCCTCACAGAAGACATAGAAGCATTACAGCTGGCGAACCCTCCACAGTCCGCACACTTGATGACCAAAGGTTTCAGAATAGTGAAGGATCAGACATTGACAACTGAGATGAATATGAAGAGAGTCTTGGCGATACTGATGAGCCACAAGGGAGACAAAGTATTTCTGAAATGGTAACAATGCACAAACTGAATACTACCAAAACAATTTTGAAGAAGAATACCAGTGTAAGTTGTACACCCTTAATCCTGTTTCTAAATATTCTTTAGCTTATTCAAAATAGCCAAGAATTTTCAAAGGCTAGCAGTTTTATTCCTGTCGCTAAGAAGAGAATCCAGAAGGAAGTGGATGTCTTTGAATGGTGAGATGAATTTGATGATTTTCTTGATGAATGAGATATTGATTTTGGTAACATTCAGAAGGACAACATTGGTAATAAAAACCTAGCTAACACTTTAACAAACATAAATTTTCAGGGAAAATATCAATATTTATCATCGTTCATGGAGAATGAAGCTGAGAAGATCAGAAATAGCAGTTCTCTAGAGAATTCAAAGCTTATTGTCGAAGCAAGAAAGACTCCAAAAAGAAAGAACACTGATAAATTGAAGCATTTAAATTCAATTGGTTCTGCATACAAAACCAAGCCAAATGAGTTAGAAGCTGTCTCTCTTGATCCAGATGAAGTAGTAAGAGCATCAAGGGTATTAAAAAAGATGCACTCATTCAAAGCTAACAAGAGGCACTCTATCACATATTCTGACAATTCAGACCCAGTGCTGTCTTCTCTGATTGGATATATTGATTCCATGGGTGTTTTCAAACTAAATATTGATGAAGATGATCTTTCTCTACTTTCACTTGAAGTGATTGAAAACATTGGCTTCTTCAACAAACTCAGTTACGAGAGCAATCTGAAAAATTGGCACAAAGACATGAAATATGCATTTAAAATGCATAAAAATACCCTAAGAGATGTAATCTTCTCTGAGAGGACCAAAATGAAGCCTTTAGTCTCATTTATCCTCAATTGGGAGTATTTTGAAAGATTGTCTTGCTATTTGGTAGACAACAAGGACCTGACCTGATACAATAATCCTATCGTTTTATAGATCCTGTCATGATTTCTTGCTCGTAAATGTTAATAGTTTTTAAGCTACATTCTACAGGCACTTTTTGTCACTCTCTCCAAACTAATTATTCCATTTCTGACTCCTCCAAATACACCACTACCTCCAGTGAATATTTCTGGGACAAATTCTTCAAATTTTAAACTAACCTCCATTTCTAAAGCTATATGTCATTTTAAAGTCAGAAACGGGGTTTTGGGGTTTTGGGGTTTTGGGGTTTTGGGGTTTTGGGG